CACACACACTTCTGCATCCATAACTTTCTTGTTCTCTCAGTTGCACTTGATCTCTCTCTGTCACTCACATTAATGTGGCCTTCACGCTTTGGCTTTAAAAGAAAAAAAATACAAAGAGATCTGGGTTTGAGATGTCACTCAATCTAAATGCTTTCTAATTAATATAAGGATTTTAAGATTCAAAGAACAAAAAGAGGTCATCTGTATACTTAAACTCACAAACTTCCACATTTATATAAAATATAACTGACTTATAATTTATATATACTTATATAATCTAACCTAAGTGGACCTCTGGTCAGGAAGTAATAACTTTGGATTTGAGAGTAACCCCTAATTTACACTACATGCGTTCCGGCTCCGCTCCTCTCCGGTCCAACCTCCGCAGAGCGGAACCGGAACGCATGTAGTGTAACCCCTAATTTACACTATATGTGTTCCGGCTCCGCTCCGGTCCGACCTCCGCAGCAAATACGCACCCATTATAATCAATGAGAGTGTTTACACTGGCTGTGCACGGCGGTGGTGAGCAGACGACAATCTGGCAAAATTAGGACAGATCCTATTTTTGCCGGACGCCGGAGTCAATTTTTAAAGATTACGTCGCACCAACAGGAAAAGAAACGAGCACAACAGCCGTATTTTCAAAATAAGGCACTACTAGGCGGGATAATTTGTTGGAATAATGTCGAAATTGCAGCTATATTAATAAATATATGGATATATTTCTACACAAATGCTGTCAGAATGTGTCGTTCTGTTTGGGAAGCAGAAGGAAACATGTAGCATGATGCATATGTGTACACATATGATACATGTGGATTTTATTTTGAAATCAGAAGTTTCAGAAAGGTGACAGCGAGACAGTTTCAACCATAGATATCAAAAGCCTTTATATCAATGTTTTCAGCTGTGTTTGGAGTTCGTCTTTCACAGAATTAATTATTTTTGGCTGTGACTTCCACATCACTGGATTTATCGCGCAATCTCCTTCCTGCACACTCTGTCCGACGGGAGCGGAGCAGACGCTGCATAAATTGAGACACAAACAAACAGCTGCGACCTGCGTACCACAGCGCAGCGGAGCGGGGACGCATGTAGTATAAATCCAGGGTAAGAACAACTGTAAGAAAATATTTTACCTTTGTTTGTTTTGTTAACACTACAGTGAGATTTAGCTCCTAAATTAGCATTAGCTGGTGCTAACTTGCTGACCCTATAGATAATACCCATCCATTCATCTATTCATCCATTATCTATTCCAGCTTCTTCCTTTTAGGGTCACAGAGGTCACTGGTACACATATCCAGCAGTCACAGTGTGAGGGGTGGGGTACACCCTGGACAGGTCGCAGTCCATCACAGGGCCACACATAGAGACAAACGAGACAGACAACCATTCCTAGGGACAATTTAGAGTGACCAATTAACCTAACAGTCATATTTTTGGTCTGTGGAAGGAAGCCGGAGTACCCGGAGAGAACCCATGCATGCACGAAGAAGACATGTGCCAGGGCTGGGATTTGA